CTCCAAAGATTTTTCACTAGAACGGAACAAGTGAATCTGTCTGCTGGAGATGCAGACGGTGTTGAATCATTTTCTACTCCTATCCAAAACGTACAGCAGAACTTCAGCTATATTAATAAAAAAAATAAAAATGAATAAGACATTAAAAGAATTTGCAGAATTATCTACTACACTTCTTCTTTTCTTCCACAAGGTGTCCTCAGTCTTCCATGTTGAATAATGGCTGCACCCTGGCTGTCATGTACCCGCAGCTTGTTACTGGACAGTGAGGGAAAAGCAGCACAATGATGAACTCGTCTCTGAACCCTTTTTTCCTCTCTTCCTCTTGCAGTCCAGCTCTGCGGTACAGGAACTGCAAGAGGCGCATACCAGGTCACATTCAGGCGCTGTTTGCAATTTTAAAAAAATGCATCTGATGTATTAAGCTCCTGCCAGCCCTAAAAGGGTTCTGAACAACAGGAGACAGAGGGAGGCTTCCCAGTCACATATTTGTGAGCCCGTCCCATAGGCTTCCAATTGCAAATGATGACCAGGAGCTGTAGGAGACACCTTGGTCACTGATGTGGGAGAGAGGCTGGCTGCTGTATATGCAGTCTGCTGGTGTTGATTCCCACCTACAAGGGTAACACATATATGCATTATGCTGGTGTTGATTCCCACATGCAGGGGTAACACATATATGCATTATGCTGGTGTTGATTCCCACCTGCAAGGGTAACGCATATATGCATTATGCTGGTGTTGATTCCCACATGCAGGGGTGACACATATATGCATTATGCTGGTGTTGATTCCCACATGCAGGGGTGACGCATATATGCATTATGCTGGTGTTGATTCCCACATGCAGGGGTGACGCATATATGCATTATGCTGGTGTTGATTCCAACATGCAGGGGTGACGCATATATGCATTATGCTGGCTGGGAAAGTCGTAATGAGCACAGGATGTATCGCTGCCAATTCAGTTCTGTAATCGATGGATTTCTTTCTGAAAGACGGAAAGACGGAAAGACAGAAGAGCAGAATAGGAGAAACTGAAACTAGAGCTCCATCTGCTGGCCGGATCGAAGACTACATACAATTCATATGCTGCATTTTATATTTATCTGACAAACTAAAGTGTTTTTCCTTTTTAAGGGACAATTTTTACAAAACAACAAAATATTCCTGTTTTGAAAAGGTTTGTTTTTTTTTACTTGTAGCAATAAAATTGAAAATATATGTTCTTTTCATCTCCGTTGCAGATCTGCTGAGGTGTCTTGCTAAGAATTCCCACAGCTCAGCTTTTTTTTAAAAAATATTGCAGAATAAAAGATCTGTGTGAAAACCACGCTTGGAAACTGATCTCTGATGCCCAGCTTAAGGGCTCATTCACTCTGGGCTTGTGATTTTGCAAGATGCAGGAATGCTTTCAAATGCAGCACGTTCTCACATAATCTCTGCAATACAGCATTCTTTGTTAAAAAAAAAATGGACGTGCTGCATTTCTCAATGTGCTTTCCTGTGGGATCCATTCAAATCACTGACCAAGATCCTTTTCAAAAGCGCATTTTATAAACACCTGGGGATGCTTAATTGCACTTGGCTGCATGCGTTTTGGTGTGACATTTCCCTTTTTAATCAAAATGTCGACTTAATTTAAAACGGCTTTATGAAAGCAACAAATCCACTCGCTCCCTGTGTATTTTATGCATAATAAAGCAGCATATTGGCAGGCCGCTGTAAGTGATCACTTGTACCTAACAAGCATCGCCTGCTGAAAAAGATGATACCAAGGTCATACCTGCAGCAGCCATGTTCTTCAGGATGAGGATGTAGATGTACCTCCGGAGCTCGTGGAGTGATTACACAATACGCATTATGCACATCGACACTGTTCGGCTGAATTCGCATGGATGGCTAAAGCAAGGTTGGGCGCTTGCTGGCTCCAAGATGGGGGACAGACAGGCCCCTGAATTCCATTCCATGTTATTTGTCCACCCCTGGGCTAAAGGTAGCCATTGGAAGGTAGCTTGGATCCTTATAGGATCCCCCAAATAATGAGTCTGATGGAAACCAAAGGAAGAACCTTAAACTATCCCCCTTAAGGAGGGGGGGGCGGGGTGCAGCTCTGTTAGGCAACAACTGCAACCACTTTAGGCACTCTTTAGTTTTTTTTATGGTTCTTCCTGTCTGTTTTTGCTGGATGTTTGTGTATCTGATTGGGCATTGTAGGACCTAAACTCGGCCATGCACTGCTCACATTTGAACTGACTCCCGCTGGCTCGGCTAACATTTGAGCCGTGTGTGACCCTGTTGTTACCCCTCATTCAATACAAGGTGTTTTTTTCAGTCTGTTGTTGGAGCTGGCCTGAAAATTGGCTGTAGTCACTGTTTGTGTATTCTGACAATGGCACACCAGCCACTGTAAGAATACTAGGGATGCACCAATACCGGCTTTTCGGTATCTAGCACGAGTACTGATTACTTTTTTTCCGGTACTCGCCGGATACGGGAAGTTCCATTAAGGAAGCCAGGCGGCGTGTAATGCCTCCCCATCTGGCTTCCCGATTAGCGGGGAAGCCGTCTCCATGCTCCCTCGTCATTTGGCGACGAGGGAGCATGGAGCCGCCTTTCTGGTCAATCAAAAAGCCGGGGGGGGCGTGTTATGACTCACTGCCCGGCTTCCTGATACCAGAAGTATCGAGCTAGGCATTGGAGCATTGACTCGGCATCGGCACCGATACTAATATTGGTGCATCCCTAAAGAATGCAATAGCCAGCAGGGGAGATTCAGCCGTCCACACTGGTTTTTTTTAAAGCATTTTTTCCCCTTCAGCCCTGATAAGTATATGGCCGGCTTTACAAATGCATGGATTAAATGATCCAACAGAAACGTCTGACTTTAGCAACCAGTAGGACTCTGCCTGTAGAGGTTAGTCTGCCCTATATCTTGTCCTTTTAAAGTGTCTTGCATCTATTAGGGCTCTCCAGAGACCTGTCTGCCATTCCGGCTCTTTCCCTGTCATTTGGCCGTTCACCCTCCTCGTCCCATTATATTTCTAACCTTTTAAATGCATTTGAAGATCCTGAGCAAAGTGCAGAACCCTTTATAATTTTATTCTTCAGGTATGCAGTCCCGGGGACTCTGTAGCAGAGTATTGCTAAGCCTCATGAAGGGGACCCTGTGCGGCCCCAAAAGTGCTTGTTTTTATGACGAGAATCTTCAATAAATGAACATTTTTTGTGATCCTGAAAGGATTTTGGTGTGCTGGTGACATCTATACCAGTCGGGTGCAGAGAGCTTAACCAGCATAAGTTTTTTTAGATTGTAAGCCCTCAGGGGCAGGGCCCTCCTTACCATCTTGTCTTAAATTGTATTGTGACTGTAATGTCTTCCTTATATTGTAAAGCGCTGTGCAAACTATTGGCGCTATATAAATCCTGTATAATAATAAGTCTTCAAACAGATTAATACTTTTAGGGACGGGGGGGTCATTATTTGGCATCTATCAAAACCTGTGAAACTAGTTTTGGTGGATTGACCAACTTTTTTATTAGACACCGAGGACAGAACGGATGGAATGTAATGAATGGATAATGATATAAAGGATTTCATTTCAGTCATATAAACTCGAGGGGGTCCGGACGTAGTAATAAGAATTTAGCTTTCGAATTATTATAGTTCTGGTTTACATTGCTTCTGCTGAAGCACACTGCCCTCTACAGGCTAATAGCACTTTTTTTTTTTTTCCATAGCGGCTTGTTTTATTAATTTTTATTGTCTGTTGATAGACCAATATTTATCCAAAGTGGGATTATGTTTACCTTGGAGTGACTTCCTACCCCTTCTGGAAATCTGTTCCCAGCACCAACTGCTCCTTCAGTATAATACTTCCTAAACCTTATTTACACTTCTTCTTTTTTTTTTTCTTTTTTTATTTCCTTGAAAAAATCACAGAACCTGAAATAATTTTTCTCCTAAGTCCACTCATAAACTGGCCACACACCTAGAGATTATCTGCAGATTTTCTATGATCAGATGGAAAAAGTGCAACAGATTCCTCCATCTATCCTAAACTGTGTGGATGAAGGAATCTCCCGCTGGGCCAAGCTTCAGTATCTTGCTAGTCGGCCCCGCTGGCTCTAAAAATACCTGAACAATGCCGGCATCCAATCAGATTGTTCAGGTATTTTGACAGCCAGAGGGGCCGACTAGCAAGATACTGAAGCTTGGCCCGGCAGGATATTCCTCCATCCACATAGTTTAGCGTAGATGGAGGAATCTGACCATAGAAAATCTGCAGATAATCTCTAGGTGTATGGCCAGCTTTAGACTGTGTCTCCTTTTGGTATTATTTACTTCTATTCCAGTGAGAAATGAACAATTTCACTTTCAGTCTAGGAGAGTGTTCACCGGGTCCCCTGCCCTTCCAGATGGGGCTTGCTGTGTGGCAGGCTCTGTAAATCCCGGGACTGGATAGACTGCAATAGAAATCCTTTCGGCAGGTTAAACGTCTCCCATATGTGTATTTCATCTGTGTAGTTAGCTGTTTGCCTGGAGTTCAGCTTTAATTGAGGCTGCCATTGTAGCCCTCTCCTTTTTTTTAGCATAATAGTTCCCAGGCTGTCCTTTTTAATGCTTTAAATATGTTATTTCAGCCCCTGACCCCCCATAACAAATATAAAGATAAGTAGTTCTGACATTTGTTTACAGCATGCTTGTTTCTGGGTCTGCAGTCTTTGAGGGCAACAAGTCTGAGGCCTGCAATGCACCCCATAGTATGCTAGCCTGGTGAGTTTGTCAGCAGAGATGGGGGCTGTTGGCAACATATATCTGTGTTTGATCAGCCAGATTATTTTTACCATCTGAAAATGGAGAGAAATTGTCATATAGAAATTTCTGATTGTAGTCATTGTTTGTATTATTTTCTTTAATTGCATTGATGTTGGTCCGTATGCATTTGTTTTAGAATTCAAAACTCGAATCTTATCTATTTTTATTTTTTTCCCTGCAGAAGTGGCAAAAACCTGCCAAGAACGCGAGAACCTCGGCATGTTGGTATGGTCTCCTAACCAGAACTTGTCAGAAGCCAAATGTAAGTAAGATGAACTACAGCAACTTCTCAATGTTTTGTGCCGAACTTGGATTTTTATCTTGCCCAGGTAGAAGATCAACCCCTGACCTCTTTTTACCATATTCAAAGAAAAACTTTCCGTTTGAGCCTTTTGAAGCCCCCAGTTTTATATAATGTCTTCCTTTTAAGACCTTTTTGCACCGTCTTGTTTTTGTGTGTTTGCACCCTTCTGTTTTGTGTGTTTTTGCTGTGTCCCATTGGAGAACGTTTCCTCCTCCTCATCCTTTTCCAGGGACACTGCAAGAAGAAAAGAGGAATCTCTCAAAAGTGGGAGGGAAATCCCCTCTTATAGTTTTGGGACCAGGTGTACCCAGTGACAAATCTCTACACAGCCCCAGAAGTTTAAATTGAATTAACGTTCTGTACCCTCCCAAATCGGAACACAGAGACATCTGACCCTCCCTATTCGATCTCAAAGTGACACTAAACTCAGGAGTAAAATCTTAAAAATAGATTCAAGTACATAACTATTAACAAAAATTTATCTTATTTGTGTATCACTCGGCTGTAGATCTTGAAATCATCTCTGAATTGGTGCTGACACTGTCCTTCCTTCTGGAGGGGGGCTACGTTTGTTCCCTATGGCCCCTGTGTGTGTTGTAAAGTAGTCACCGCTCCAAGTCCATCCCGGGAGTGAGCTTGGAGCGGTGACTACTTTACAACACACACAGGGACCATGGGGAACAAAAGTAGCCCCCCCTCCAGAAGGAAGGACAGTGTCAGCACCAATTCAGAGATGATTTGAGGATCTACAGCCGAGTGATACACAAATAAGAGACATGTTTGTTAATAGTTAAATCCTAAAACTGCATTTAGGATCTTTACTCCCGAGTTTAGTGTCACTTTAAATGGAAAAAAAAATATTTCTGTAGATAACATTTGAATGCATTTGTCCCCAACATGCCTTTTCCTGTGTAAAAATGCACCAAAATGTGTAGGGAAAACAAAACTCACCAAAGTCCTCCTAAATATACTCGTAATGTTCCTGACTCGCATTTAGAGTCAAAATACCAAAATATATGGTATCTTTTAGGTTGTTAATGAACTTATTGATTGACTCAAATGTTCCAGAGCAGTGTAAATCATTACATTCCTGAAATGCTGAGGGTGCAGTGCTGACTATAACTAAAATCTGTGCACATTGGGCATCTTGCCACTAGATGGCAGACTTCTTTTAAGCATAAAACATTTGTTACAATATGCGTCTTCTGCCGTGCTTATTGTATTATACTACATTGTATTTTTAATGCCTGTACAGTGGTACCTCGGTTCACGAACTTAATTAGTTCCGCGATTCTGGTCGCAAACCGATTTTTGTTCTGAAGCGAATCAAACTGTGATCAGACCGCAATCTCGATTAGAGGAAGCCACGACCAGTGTCACAGCAGGGAAAATGGCTGCGGTTGTGTTCGTCAACCAAAGCGAAGCAAAATGTTGCAGAACTTCCTGTTTGCGAACTGAATTGTTCGCAAACAGAAGCGTTCGTGAACCGAGGTGCCACTGTATAAGTGGCCAGCACAACTTTAATGAGATGTTGCACGCATGCGTCTTCAAAGGTTAGCTGGTTCTTGTAAAGTGCTTTAATGAAAATGAACATATAATTGACCTGCTGGCGAGCCTGACTGGTTTTTATACTGGTATGTAATACAGTGGTCACTCTCGGGCACCTCTTGACTGGCGGCTTTTTACAATACCAGAGGATTTTCTTACTCGTCTATTGAGGGACACAGGAAGTCTTTAATCATCATGTTATACTGCCACCGACTAGAGGATTTGTTAAAGGTGTCACCAGCACACCATATTGAAGTGAAGAACACGTCTGTTTATTGATGCTTCGGCCCCATTCACACACGAATCGGCCGGCACGTACAGCTCCGTGCTGCGTGCAGGGTCGTACCAAGCAGCTGCCGTGAAGGACAGGTGATGCGCGTGATAAGTACGCAGCCCCCGTCGTCCTCTACGGGGCTACGCGGCCGTACGCCCCCCTACGCTCAGCTCAATTGCAGGTCCGTAAGGGAGCAGGTTTTCGGGCCGGGACGCATACAGGATCCATTCCAGGGGCCTATTAATACGATCACCCGCACCCCTACGGACCTGCATTTGAGGTGAGCGTAGGGGGGGCGTACGGCCGGGTAGCCCCATAGAGAAGGATGGGGGCTGCGTATTAATCACTCGCAGCACCTGTCCTTCCCGGCAGCTGCTTGGTACGGCCGCGCACGCAGCATGGAGCTGTACGTGCAGGCCGATTTCGTGTGTGAATGGGGCCTTCATGTCAAAACATTTAGCAACATTTCAGAGCCACACAAGGTCCCCTTCATCAGGCTTGAAATGGCATAATTTCAAGCCTGATGAAGGGGACCCTGTGTGGCCCCGAAACGTTGCTATTTGTTGACATGAAGGGGCAATAAACAGACGTGTTCTTCACTTCAATATGGTATGCAGTTGACATCTTTAACAAGTTTCAGTATTGGTGGCGTCATGCGCTGTCACTTCGAGCACCCACGCTGACAGGGATACCCGGTAAGGAGTGCAGCAGGATTCTGGAATACACATATACTTGAGGATTTGGACACTGAAAATACAACAAAAATAGACTTGTGGCCAATCCATGATACCCCCTCCTACTACCAGCATGCCTCAGTTTTTTGCAAGTTTCCTAGTGGGCTGGAAGTCTGTAGCTCTGCTGACGAACTCAACTACCTCCTGTAGATGGCAGTATAACCAAAGGTGAAAGACTGTGTCCCTTAAAGGACTCCAAAATGAGGATTAAATAGCAAGTAGATATTTCTTATTTTAGAGGTTTATAGATGAGGTTCACCAGTTAGTGTGTGTGAAAACTCTGACAAAGAACTTCTTTTTTTTTTTTTGCTTGCTTGCTTTTGGTCTGATAAATATATTAGTAAAAGAACTTTGCTAATAGTTGTTCAAATAGTGCACAAAATACCTGTTGAGCTGCAATAAATCAATTTATAACTTCCAGTAGACTCTGCAGTGCTACCTTTTAAGCAATGTTAGCTGCACAGGTTACCTCCCCTCTATATTATGTACATAAGGAATGGGGGGAGTCTTCTGTAGTCTTAAAACACTTCCTGTCCCTGGATGACACTGTTGTTTCTCTATAGATACACAACAGTACAGTAACCAAGTGTTGTCACCTTTAAGACAGGAAGTGTGTTATTAGCAAGATCAGCAGGGGACAAATAAACCAAAGCCTGAAAAGGACTGGTAAGGTGTGTGTGTGTGTGTGTGTGCGCATTTTTGCTCTTGGGTTTAGATGCACATTAAATCATTATTCTGTCGGGGTGTTGAGGAAACTGGCTAAGCAGGTCACTCCACAGTTCCTTTGTCCCCAGACTTCAGCTCTTTCTGGGGGAATTCCAAAATTATTTCAGGCCAGAAAGATCTAATCCTTGCTGTGTGTTCTGGAATGGCTCTGGCCCTTCTCCCAGGACATGCTGCATACAGCTCCGAGGGAAGTCTACGGGGAAGGTCCATCTAAGCATCCACATTCAGAGAAGCAGTGCACTAATCTAGGGATTCTCCTGGACTGCCACACACTTCGCCCTCCTGCAGTGCTGCTTGGAAACCTCGTTTTACTTGTACCTTATTCTTTAAAGAACTCCCAGGCATATGAAATCTTAACCCCCCCCCCCCCCCCCCCCCCCCCCCGGATAAGTGAGGATGCACCGC